CCCGCCACAGTCACGTTGACTCAAATTAATTATATATTGGAGAAGTACTAGTGGCCACTTAATATGGTGCAACAAATTAATTATATGTTGGAGAAGTACTGGTGACCACTTAATATGGTGCGAAAGACGGTCTGATGCTATGGTGTGTGATTTGTATTCCACGCCTAACACCTTCCCTCGGCCCCTCCCCACTAATTCCTCATGTTTAAAAAATAATAACAATGATTATATATTGGGGGCTGTGGAATAGAATTAAAAGTTGAGTGCGGGTACTACCTTGGCTCGGCTTCTCACGGGACCATAAACACCATGCCAGGTTTTGTTTTCTTTTACTTTCTCATCTGGGTTTATCCTTCTTCTTTCTGAGCAGTTGTAATCATACTGGTTTCTCATCGGAATCTAACTCTAGTGTTTAATAATTGTTGAAACTCCAATCTCTGAGGCTGTTGTAATTGTTAGATTCCCTGTTTTCCCATCTGCTTCCGCTAATTCTTATTATGTCTTTCCTATCAAGTTTCGATTTTTACTTTATTCAATTTGCACAAGTAAATGAGAAACGAAATAATGGCCTTCCTGTTCCTACCCTTAATCATCTTTACATATTTCTTCTATTTTGTGATCATATGGATTGATGATGATGGATTTTTGATGAATCTCTAACATGAGAAGGGCTTATTTATGTTAGTTTAGTGATGTAGAATTCTTAGAGGCAAGCCACTCTCTTTTCTTCTGCCAGTGATGAGTTTGGAACTTAAATTGGTTGCAATTACTTTTCTACACATTAGCTTTTATGGTTTTGAATGTCTCTATGTTTGTTCACCATGCCATTTGATGCAATTATGCTCCTAAAATTATCTTATTTTTCTATTAAAATGGCATCATGGTACTGATTTTTTTTTGAGTACTTGAGTTTGCTTTCCTGTAATTCTTTGTTTCTTGTGGGATCTGAGTTCTGTTGGTGCTGCGGCAGAAATTGTATTTCTGCACAGAAAGATATGAAGATAAATATTTCTAACAAGTAATGATAGTTGTATTTTTGGAATGTGATGCCATTTTAGTTCCTGTGATGGTTACGTGAGGCATGCCCTTCTTGTTGAATGACACTGCTATACTTGATATTCAATTCATGAAGCCCTAAGAATTCAAATCTGTCTTATTGGTTGTTAGATTTACACTAACTTAAGCATTATGTATTTGAAGATTGTTTTGCTTTTATGCCTTGTCGGATAAAAGAATTAATCAAAATTTTGAATGAATATTATCTGCCTTGATGCAAGGATATTGTGCGGTTAAATGGATTTTAAATATATTTATTTGTTCTTCCATAAGTGACAGCCTTAACATTTTATTTTATATCCAATTACAGATAATCAAGAACCAATTCTGAATGAGGAAAATTTAACAATCCAATCACCACTTCTGAAACTCAAGCGCTGGAAATGGTGGCTATTGGTAGTAATCAATATCTTTTTCCTTATTGTGGGCCAGGCTGCCGCAGTTCTTCTAGGTAGATTTTACTATGATCAAGGTGGAAATAGTAAATGGATGGCCACACTCGTTCAGGCTGCTGGCTTCCCAATTCTTTTCATCCCACTTTTTCTTCTTCCTTCCAAAAAGGAAGACTCAGCTCTTCCTACCTCACCTTCCATTATAACTCTTGGTTTGGTCTACTTTGTTCTTGGAGCAGTTATTGCTGGTGACAACATGTTGTACTCTGTAGGGCTCCTGTACCTCTCAGCCTCTACATATTCCCTAATTTGTGCCACCCAGTTAGCTGCTAATGCAGTTTTCTCTTACTTTATCAATTCTCAGAAGTTCACTGCCCTAATCCTCAACTCTGTGATCATCCTCTCATTATCTGCTGCTCTGATTGCGGTAAATGATGATTCAGAAACGCCATCTGGTGTTGCTAAGGGGAAATACATCATTGGATTTCTGTGCACCCTTGGAGCTTCTATACTTTACTCTCTTTTGCTTTCTCTCTTGCAGCTTTCCTTCCAGAAGATCTTGAAAAAGGAAACATTTTCTGTGGTTTTCGAAATGCAAATTTACACAGCATTAGTTGCCACCATTGTTTCAATCATTGGTCTTTTTGCAAGTGGGGAATGGAAGAGTTTACATGGGGAAATGGACAGCTTTGGTAAAGGAAGAACTGCTTATGTGCTGACGTTGGTTTGGACTGCTGTGACTTGGCAAGTTTGTTCTGTTGGTGTAGTCGGCTTGATTTTTGTGGTGTCTTCCCTCTTCTCCAATGTAATCAGTACCATGTCTTTGGCTGTGACGCCTATTGCCTCTGTGATAATTTTCCATGACAAGATGAATGGTGTGAAGATAATTGCTATGCTTCTGGCCTTCTGGGGTTTTGCTTCTTACATTCACCAGAACTATCTTGATGATATCAAGATGAGGAGATCACAAGCCACCGTCAATGAAACCCGTCATGATCTTCCGTGCTGATTATCTTCATACTGATATATCCGATGACAGTGCACAGAAGATATAACATCAAATTTTCTACGGTAATTGTACAGTTCTTTATTGACACAACTAGTTTATCCTAGGATTCTTAGTTCGATAACGCATGTCTATGTATCTGGACATTGATATTGTTATATTAAATAAGATTGCGAATTTATGGCAGTTCTATACTTCTATGTCTTTGACAGAGGAATGTTGTTTATATTCAGACTTAGACAACGTACTCAGAAAACAGGACAGGCCAGAAGCCGAGAGAAATTGCCAGCTGAAACATACAGTTTCTTCTAGTTAGAAAATGCCAATTTTCTGGCACTGTTGGCAAGTAACACCGTTGCTCTCTTCTTCAAATGCGAACACCAAGAAAATGTGTCTTGCGTCCCAAACAAAATTTTTGGTGCGTGTCTTTTTCTCTGTTAAAGCCTTTATCTTTCAATATAATCAACTAACCATTTAACTCACTGTTTTTAAAACCGGACCGGACCGGCCGGTTGAACCGGTCCAACCGTCACCCGGTTGCTGAAACGGGTCGGATGAATGTCTAAACCCGTTT